CATTCCTCTTACTGCAAAGTGGGGACAACTGTATATTCCTCACAGGACTGCTGGGAGGTTTAATGAGGTGCTGATACGAAGAGTAGTAATTGCTAAGTCAGGTTTTCCTATTTTGTATCCGTTACTGTCCCAGAACCTTAGCATGCATTTGCCTTCTTTCCGTACAGGGTATTAAAACAGGGCAGCAGGTCTTTAGTAGATACTGGCAGTATCTTGAGTCCTTTTACATCTCTTGACAATCCAGCTATCCGATTTCTCACAGTTCATTGTTTACTTACTTATTTCTCAGCATACCTAAACTTGTGCATAATTCTCCATGTAATGAAAACTTTGCAGTACTGACCAGAATGAACATCTGGTCCTGCCACTGAGCTAGTTGTACATTTTAACCACGGTGTGCCTTGGTTTCCTACATGTACCACAGGGATGCTAATATCGAATTCTTCAGTAGGTCAGGACATTAAATGAGATGACCCATGTCCAGCAGCTGGCAGATCCCAGGCACTGGCTCTGAGTTTCTTTCTCCTCTGTCTTTACCATGCTGCTCCTCTTTCTGTTGCCTCCAAGTTTTTTCATTTTGTTTTAATAGTTCTCTTGGTAATACTTCTAAAAACACTGGTGCAAATAAGACACACTCCCTGTTTAACCTTTGGTGCTGTATTCTCTGGCCTCTCCTCCTTGGGTCCAGGTCACAGGATAGTAAGAATACTAGGCACAGAGAAGTTTCTCTGTAAATACTTCTGAGCAGAATAAAATGACATGATAAAGAGTAAAACTAACTGCCAGCAGGCTGACTGTCTTCCTTAGCCTGAGGAAGGTGACTGAGGGTTTGTTCATGGGGGATAAATGCATATCTTTTTATAGAGGGTTTTTTGTTTTGTTTGTCTTTTTAAGCAGACATAGTGGGTAGAACTTTAGGTAGAGGAATCTTGGGAGTCTCTGATAGGTGGCGTATTAGATTGTTAGGGCTACCATAACAAAGTGCCCACAGACTGAGTGGCTTAAACAACAGAAATGACTTGCTCACAGTTCTGGAAGCTACAAGTTTGGTTTCTTCTAAGGCCTGTCTCCTTGGCTTGCAGATACTATTTTTCCTTTGGTGTCTTCACATAGTCTTCTTTCTGTGTGTCTGTGTCCTGATTTCCTCCTTTATAAGAACATCTGTCATATTGGATTAGGGCCTGCCTACATGACCTCATTTTTACCATAATTGCATAACTTGAATCTCTGAATACCGGGGGTTAGGACTTCAATTTATAAATTGGTTGGGGGACTAGGGGACATAATTCAGCCCATTCATTACAGGTGGCAACCTGATAACCTAGCACAATTATCTTTTCTAAGGGCCTGTGCTCTGCAGAAGATATTTGAAAATCCTGTTGAGTCACAGAGCTAGGAAAAAAATTCTAGAAAAAATAATACTTGGTTCTGATTTCTGAGCAGCACCTCCTAGGAGTTAGTCTAATTTTTCTCTTTATATTATCCTAAGGCTATATAGGTAAATCTTACTGTTTAGCACCTATTTTTCCTCCCCATCTTTGAATATCGAATGCTTAGCTCAGAGTATGTGTCAGGAAATAATCATTAAATTGAGTACAGGCAATTTGTCTGCCTCTGGATATTGTCGCGATTTCATTCACCCCAAAAGGAAATGAACCTGTCTTTTTCATGGTTATTTGTGAACATTGAAGGCATATTTTATTGTCTGAGAATGTTTGGACTGAACCCTTTCTGATTTCTAAATTCTTCTGCTACAGTAATATATTTCTTTATGAACCATATTTTTCAAACAAACTATGTTGTTGCCACCATTTCCTGAGTTGCTCATTATTTTGTGCACTAGTATTGCTCCTCAGACTTATTCTTTGGGGAACATAGGCATAATTTCCTTAGACATAGATCAAACCGAATTTGATAATTAAATATGTTGTAATTTGTGTTTTGGAAAAACAATAAAAAACTCAGCACGTATTTTTGTTTTTGATTATTTCAGAATAAATATTTCATTTCTTAAATATTTATAGTGATAAAGTAGGCCTTGACTGGTAAGGGAGGGAGCAGGTTTCTCAATGTGTCCCATTATAGACGTCTCTCGTAAATACCACAGAATAATTTGAGATAATTAAAAATGGGGCTGTCAAACAATTTATGTATGCAGGTAATTCATAGTTTCAAAAAGCAACTTAGTTTTCTAACTGGAAACCTTTGTTTTTTGTGTGTGAAGAGTAATTTATACTTTAGATTTATTAATTTTTATAAGTACTGGAAATACTTATTCTTATAAAATATAGTAGGAAAAAGATAATGTTTCATTCAGCTCTTTATCTTTTTTGTTTCTTTTCCTGGACTAGCATTCTTATCTTTGTTAGGGCTTTTTGCCCAACTTTTTAAAAAGGTGTTTTGTTTCAAGAAGCCAGAAATTGTATGATAAAATGATGAAAATAACTTCATTATAATTACTGTTGTTTATTTATAAGCCCAAAGAGTTGTTCTTCATGTTTAGTGAGAGTCCTGTTCTTACTTGACTACATTGGTCAAGTTCGTGTAGCTGGTTGAGCTGAAATAATGAAGGTTGTAAGTTTCTAGAAAACGAGTATTTTGCTTCTGTGGACCATACAGTGCCTAGCACAACACTGAATGAAGGTTCCATGAAAGAGGAACATCTGGACTATGTGTTACATTTTTCTTAATAGCCAGTTGCAGAGTAGGGGGAATAGAAGACACTGTAGAATGATGCATGTTTATATTAGATGGTAAGAAAAATCCATATTTATTCTAAAATTGTACAAAGTATGCTACCAAGTATATTTATGCTCTGTTTTTACATAATACAGAAGATGCTTTAATGATAATTATTAGCACAATCATTAGAATTTCCAATATCATGATTTATCACCACTTCACATATACCTGTAAATTGATAGCCATGCATTTTATAAATGAGGTTAATGTGATTAGCTGGCTTAGGTTAAGAGAACATTTATTAAAGAATACACAAAAAGCTACGTTATGAGCTTTAGTAGGGAGTATGACTCAGAATCTTAATTTTCCAGAGTTTATATTGCTTTTTTTTAAAAAGATTTTTATTGGGGAATTGGGGGAAGGGGAACAGACAAGTTGCTGTCGTTTTGGTCTTCAGTCTAGTTGTGGAGGACGTTGCTTCACTGGCTCAAGTTGGCACCATCACTGCGCTCTTCCCGGGAGAAATAGATCAGTCGCGGCTTCTAGACGGCCGCTCACTGCAGCTGCTGGCTGCTCACGCTGGCTGCTGGCTACACAC